AAGTACTATATTTCATTCAGTATTATAACCAGACACAATCCTCTGTTCAAATGAGAGCCCAGCATGGCCAGGTGGCTAGGGCGCTCGACTCGCAATCTGAGGGTCGTGGGTTCGAATCCCCGTCCCACGAAACATGCTCGCCCTTTTAGCCGTGGTAGCGTTATAATGTGACAGTCAATCCCACTATTCGTTGGTAAAAGAGTAGCCCAATGATTGGCGGTGGCTGGTGATGACTAGCTGCCTTCCCTCTGGTCTTACACTGCTAAATTAGTGACGGCTAGCGCAGATAGCCCTCGTGTAGCTTTGCGCGAAATTCAAAAACAAATTGTTCAAATGAAACCTACGTTACTTGCCCTTGTCTCATATAGGTAAACGCCCGTGTGAATACAAGACAGAAAGTTATACCAACAGAGATAATTCAATATAAACTGTAAATACGCAAATCTTATTTATATGAGAAAAGCAATTGATATTTCTACCCCATATTGTATGACATAAACTGTTATTTTCTCTCTTCCGTTTGAGAGTTGGTCTACAGTAGGTGGATGTCGTCTATACCATACTTAACGCATTTATATAATTTTGGAAATGAAATGCTTTTACACTTACGAAAGTCAAACGGTATCACAATATCTCGAAAGAGGATTCAAAAGTCTTCAAAATACATGTTTTAATTTCAAAACCATACCTTGTTGCAAAACTTTAGACCCATTCATGACATATAATGAGTCCCAAATAATTACCAAATATGTTTGTTTGTAATTAAGCACAAAGCTACCCAATTGGCTATCTGTCCACCACGAGTATCGAAGCCTGGATTCTAGCGTTGTAAGTCCACAGACATACCACTGTGCCACTGGGGGGGGGGGGCTACCAAATATGAAACCCGATAACCCAGGAACTTTCGAAATGCCAACTTTTCTTTTTAAGGGTGAATTGGGGATAATTACATTACCTTTTCCTCTAGTATTCAGCTATAAGAACTAGCCGTGCATAATTTTAAGGTATTTAAAGCGATCCTATTGATTGTAAGGATAGTTTTGTTGTTGTTGTTGTCTTTCAAAATTTGTATTGCATACTGGAGGAATTTACACATTTTGATAAAAAGTTTAGAAAAAACTACCTTTATACTCCAGATATATATATAAAAGAATTTTTTAATCCCACGTTTCGCCTTTGAGGCTTCATCAGGGTTAATATACAAAGTTGTTTTTATCTAAACTTTTTATCAAAATAGTTTTCTTTTGCTACGTTTGGACATTTTAACACAATATTTATTATGTACAATATTATCATCATAAAATTGGAACAGGCTTTTCTCCAACAACATTGGGCCAATTCTGGTTGCAGATATTTTACCGTATCTCTCCTTCATTGACATTATACTTATTAATATAATTGTTAAATAGTGACACGTTTAACTGACAAACACCATAAGCGCTCAATCAAAAATTAACAATTTGAATCAGAGGACATATTGATATTTTCTGAGAATTAATTCAGTTACCCATTATCCTTATTAATATAATTGCTAAATAGGGACATGTTTAACTGCCAAACACAATAAACGCTCAATCAAAAATTTTAATGTTGAATCAGAGGACATATTGATATTTTCTGAGAATTAATTCAGTTACCCATTATCCTAATTAACATAATTGTTAAATAGGGACACGTTTAACTGATAAACACCATAAATGCTCAATCAAAAATTAACAATGCTGAATCAGAGGACATATTGATATTTTCTGAGAATTAATTCAGCTACCCATTATCCCAATTAATATAATTGTTAAATAGGGACAATTTTAACTGACAAACACCATAAACGCTCAATCAAAAATTAACAATGTTGAATCAGAGGACATATTGCTATCTTCTGAGGAGTAATTCAGTTACCTATGCAAGATATTGATAATTATAAACGCAAAATATTTATTCAGGTGTTCTTCAGCTGATATATTGTAATATTATTGAAATAAATTTAAGAGGCTAAATAAGAAAAGGGGAAAATTTTATTATAGGATTACTCGTAAAAAATAATTACTCTGTCTTAAAACGCATTCTTTTAAAGTTCACTTCTTACATAAATAATCATCAAATTACTGTGTTTTTGTTGTTGTTTCGTTATATACCGTTAACTACCAGTAGGTTCTACGTATTGCATCACATTGAATAATTTTATAATTTTCACTTTTACAACACTCAGGGCCTAGTGATTAGGAAGCTCGACTCGCATTTGAGAGTCGCTAGTTCGAATACCCGTCACATCGAACATGCTCGCCCTTTCAACCGTGGGCACGTTAAAATGTGACGTTCAATTCAACTATTCGTTGGTTTCTTAAGAGTAGCTTAAGAGTTGGCGATGGATGGTGTTGACTAGCTGCTTTCCATCTAGTCTATCTTTGCTAAATCAGGAACGGTTAGCACATATAGCCCTCGTGGAGCTTGGCGCGAAATTCAAACCAAACCGTACAATACTCAATGCAAAAGTTTATAAAAAATACATTGAAAACCCTAGCAGGACTAATCGCAATATCGACAGTAATTGTTGTTTATATTTTTTGTGTGACTCGTGTGTTATTAGGGATCCTATAACAAAGTTATCAACCAAGTCACAAACAGGTTGGTGAATAAATGTTTTAGTAAAATATGTCCAAGAAGCCGATGATGTCCAAATAAACCCACGTCGATAATTTTTGTTATTAGCCAAAGAGTTGAATATGATTTATATATACACTGAGTGGTCACAAGTAAATAGACACCTAATTTTTCGTCATTTAACTAATTTATGCTAACTAATTTGTGTTCACAGAGCACTATATAAATGAAAATGGTCCGCACACTAATTATCTTGTACTACAACATGCCTAGAACTCAAGGTTCTCTCGAATTGTCAGATTTTGTTAGAGGAAGGACAGTTGGTCAAGCAGATGGTGGAATAAGTCAGCGGCAAATTTCGCAGAATTTGGGAATCCCGCTTTCGACAGTCAACAGAATCATCGTGCAGCTCAGGAAATACGGCAAGGAAACAATTGAGGACAAAAAGGGCTGTCAAGAGGAGCATCGAAATGGATCCAAGATTAACGACT